GTTTCCTGTGGCACATTTTTTTCTTTCATACCATACACTTTCCAGTCGCTACTGTTATTTCGATTTATGCACAGTTGGATGAGCTGAGACAAATATACGAGGAATTGCCAGAATTCCTAGAAGAGGTGGTTGGAGTACAAACCATTTACATGATAAATTTATAGCATGAATTGAGGTTTTCTGTATGTTTACATTAATTAGCATGCATACTCACAGGTGGCATCATTGGAGCTCGCACAACTTCCTCATTTGCGCAAAGAGGAGTTTGCTCCTCGTATCGTTTATATACATCAAATAGGTTGGTCTGTGCCATTTCAGCATATTTGTATGTCAAAGTATTTCCTATGGTACTAAACATATTTTTCTCTACTGATATTATCTTACAAGTACATCTTAATTCTTAAATATCATGCCATGATCTTATGTATTAGAGCTTAGAGGACGCTTTGCTTGATTATGCTCTTTGCTTCGTTTCTGTTGTAGGATACTTAATGTGTTTTTTTGGAGAGAAACCTGATGAAATCACACAAGAGAAACTTCAGGATTTTGAATTTGCAGTAAGTTGATACATGCATCATGTTTAAATGAATGGCATGCTAAATTCTTAACTGTTTAAACATTAAGATTCCAAGGCAAAGTAAGTTGATGTTTGCATAAGATATAAACAAATGTGAATGTTCCGGAAATTCAGTTCTCTGATTCTGGAGGGATAACAAGGAGATTTTTTTATCGGACACCAAAAACACGAGAGTTGGATGACCTTCTCGGAGATATTTATCATAAAATTCTAGGTAAGTTTCCACCCATGGTGCTTTTAGAAAGTGAAAGATTAAGCATAATTAGACAATCCATGTCAGTTAAATGGGGAACATAAGGTTTAGTGAATTTCTTCGTAAAGTTTCTTATTTCTTAGATTCATTATTGAAGATATGGAGAGGGCAATTATCAGAGACTTGGTCTCACATGTATCAACGTTCTCAACACATCTGCTTAAGGCTGTGAACTTTGTGGCTGAACTTGATAGGTAAGAATCACCAAAAATGCTCTTCTCCCTATTTGTCTCTCCTCTGTAAAGATGAATGTTTGTGAGGTTCTATGTTACTGACTACAGTATCTTCATATTGATATTAGCTTTTTGTCATTGGCAATGGTTGCTCGCCAGAACAATTATGTGAGGCCTACTTTAACCATGGAAACCTATCTTGACATACAAAATGGAAGGTAGGAACCATCTACTTATGCACAGTTTCAGATCATTTTCATCTTAAAAAGACCTCTCAAAAAGTTTTGTTTTCAGTGGGTAGACTTCTTTTTTTTTTTTTGTTTTTTGGGTGGCAAAGAATTTAATGACTTCATGCTGGTCACAGGCACGTTTTGCAGGAAATGGCCGTAGACACATTTATCCCTAACGATACAAGGATTCTTGATGAAGGTAAATTGAATTAAAAGTTCAATTGTAGCATGCCAAATCTCAGGATAACCTATCTCATCTACAATAGCCCATTCCAATATTATATTAGGAAGTTGTTTTTGTCAAAATGTTAAGATTCCGTTATTTTCAGGAAGGATTCATATCATTACTGGTCCTAATTATTCAGGGAAAAGCATCTACATAAAGCAGGTAGATGAAGCATCTTTGCATAAATTGCGTGTTTGCGTGCTCACATTTGCTGAGTTTTGATGGATTTATTAAATATGTTATGTTGTTTTTTCTGTTTCCATTTTTCATTGATTGTGTTTATGAGATCCCTTTTGATCTGCAATATGGTTGCGCTACAAAATGTTTCAATTTTTTTTTTTTTGTAATCACCGCTATTATTTTGTGGTAGAGATAACAGCAAGCATGTGTCAAGCACCATTTAGGCCATGGATGACTGTCTTGCACTTGGGTTTATTTTAAGTCACTATGTCAGCACTACTTATGCTGTTGAATTCTTTGTACAGTTTCCCAAGCCTTCATATATATAATTTCTCCTGTAAATTGCACTTGATCACAAATTTTATGATTTTCCTAGGTGGCTTTAATTGTTTTCCTTTCTCATATTGGAAGTTTTGTACCTGCTGATGCTGCAACAGTAGGATTGACTGATAGGTATGAGGCGTGCTTGTTGCTAACTTCGTTCTTAAAATTGCAAAATATCTACGTTGATATTCAGTTGGTCACATCAACCATGTTTTCAACTGTGACAGGATATTCTGTGGTATGGGAAGCAAGCTTATGACTGCAGAACAGTCGACATTTATGATAGATCTACATCAAGTGGGAATGATGCTAAGGTATACAGGATGGGAATGGGTTACGATAGCCCCATAATCTTATTAAACTCTAGGTTAATGATGCGGCATCTTGTGATCATTCTTCTATGAAAGTTGATGTGAATAATTAACTTTGTTTGGGTAATTGATAAGCAAGTAACTTTCCACATTTTAATACATGATGTTGATATGTTTCACAGGCAAGCAACTTCACGATCTTTATGTTTGCTGGACGAATTTGGTAAAGGCACCCTTACGGAAGGTAGGCGTCTTCCACATAACTTTACACCACAGATATGCAATGTCTGTTGTTTATTGCAGATATATCCATTGAATTAATGCTCTCATTTTGAATTTAGATGGCATTGGCCTTCTTGGTGGGACCATAAATCACTTTGTCACCGCAGATGTTCCACCAAAGGTTTGCTGGTCTTCTCTCATTTTTTTTTTCAAAAAATTACATGCTATTGTGAGAATCGGATGGGTGCACTCGAGCTATACTATTCTATTCTTATGATTTAAGAGTATTACCATCTACAAGTCACTGGCTCTCAGTGCAACCACTGTCAGTCTAACCTCGGCTACATGTACTCTCGTCTGGAGCTAAGCACTTTGCACGGTAGCTTCGAAGTATTTACAATCAAGTTACTTGTTTCAGCCTATTTACTTGGCTCTTGCATTAAGTTATACACTTCATTGGCAATCTCAGGGATTTAAGGAGAACTGAGGAGCACATATTGATTTGTATTTACTAAAATAGTTACTCGATTTGCAGGTTCTGGTGTGCACTCACTTGACCGAGTTATTTAATGAAAGTTGCTTACCAAAGGTACCCATTGTTGCAGAGTTGCTGCACAACTTCAGCTAGTGGAAAAACAACGGACGTTTGACCTTATTCTTCTTAACTCTTTTCCCTTTCTTGATCAATTTCAGTCTGAGAAAATCAACTTTTACACCATGAGTGTGCTGCGGCCTGATGATAACGCAACTAATGTTGAAGACGTCATATTTCTCTACCGGTATGATTTTGTTGCATTTTACATCACGTAACTGGGATCACAGTAAAATTCATGATTGTCTAATATAGACCCAATGGGCTCTCATAGGAGGAGAAGTAACAAACTAGGCCCCTGTTAAATTTCTTACTAGTATTTTTCTTGTCTTAATTGTTTCCAATGATTGGCCGATCTGTCAGACTTGCCAGTGGCTAATGTTGGGAATTGCAATCCCTTAGCCAGACCCATTGATTTCCAAAATAAATGTGCATCACATTCTTGCAGGCTAGTTCCCGGACATGCAGCTCTGAGCTATGGTGATGTTTCTTCCTCTATTATTTTATTTTATGTAACCTAAGGATTCATGTTGGAAATCTTTATTGAAAGTTCACATGAATCATTTCATATTTATCCTGCAGGGCTGCATTGTGCACTTCTAGCAGGTATGTTTAGAATCTCCTAATAGTAAAATTGAAAATTCTAACAAGGCAAATGAATCTGATAATGTAGAACTCACCTAGAGGAAATGAGTCAAATGACCACTGGTGTCCAACTGATTGCACTGTTCATGTAGGTGTGCCAAAAGAAGTGATTAACAGAGCAGCGTTAATCCTGGATGCTATTGAAAATAACAAAAACGTTGAGCGATTGTGCGATGAGAAAATATCAGCCAAAGATCAGCAATACAAGGTTCCATATTCAGGACCCAAATTCAAAAATTAAAATAAAGGAATTTGATTTATCTATTATTTGTTCATGAATACATGAACTCTCATTCATTGATTCTGTTAAATTCAGGGTGCAGTTGATAAGATGCTGGCATTCGATGCGCTCAAGGGTGATCTCAGTGCCTTCTTCCGAGACATATGACTACCTCAAACCTAAACCATGAAAGGTATTCTTGCACTGTCCCAGACATTCTTTTCCAATATTTGGTACATTGTACATTCTTTCTCATAGCATCAATGGAATCTACATTCCCCCGAATGAGTAACTGAAGAATGATTAGTATTCAACTGTCTCTAGGTTCTTTTTAGATTCATCCACCATAAAAATAACAGTGAAGACCTCGATTATGCTTATTTGACTGGTTATAGCATTCTGTTTTGACACAATTTCAATGGATGAAACTCTGTGGAATCAAACTGCCAAAAACCCAATAGAAGAGAAACTGAAACTGGAAAATTAACCAGCAATTAAGATTTATTGATCATGGATGATTTGCTAAATAAATGAAACTATGCATTACAATGGTATACATAGATCTCTTTTCTATTATTTGTCATGAATGGATACTTGAAATATCCACGGTAAATCATTGTCACCCGTACTAGCTGCTATGGCTGAATCTTTATTCCTCCCAATTGTTTGATTCTCTGACTGTAAGCCTACTCCATTTGATTTATTTGCTATAAGCTTAAGTAGAAACTAGCTGCCTAACATTCATGGGGACACTGTATTGCGTTGTACCATCAAAAAGAGCATCCACAAAAATTCTAGCCGTAGCCTCTGTTGGATGGTACAGATCCCAGAAAACATGATCTTTCCTGTTGGGGCAATATGTCGAAATGGGAACACAAGGGACCTTAGCTTTCAGATCTCCAAGGCCACAACAGGCGGCTTTAATCTCATTGAACCCTGCATACACAAAGTTGAAAATCACATCAAAAACTTAGGGAGATTGGGGGGGTGGGGGGAAGCACAAAAACGACAGGGTTTTATACCGTAAGCAGATGGTTTTTGGATGACGTTTTGCATGATACCGTAAGTATCAAAGTAGGAGTAGTTTATGCCTTGAAGTTCCGATTGCAACCCGTTCAACATTGCCTTCAGCCCCTGGTTGTACTTATCGGACCAGAAATTTCGTTCTTCGTTGCATTCTTGGGTCTTGTTTTTAACTCTTTCTGCAGGAATACACCCGATCAACCCGACACCACTAATGAAAAATTTACGTGCACCGAACGCGTACAGTCTCTGTTACAATAAAATTTAAAATCTACTTAATACTGTTTATATCATATTGTGAAATATTATCCGTTTTAATTAATTAAAATTTGAGATTAATGTAAATAATTAAGTATTTAATTTTACTCTAATATATATTCACGATTTTCTTTTTAAACCGTGACACTTGACATGTAAGGATTTTGAACAAAATAAAGAGGGAAATGGTCAGTTACCTTGAGTTGTGCTTTTAGGTTGCTAGTCATCAAGTCTACAAATTGTTGTTGGGTGTACTTCTTTTTGAGATCGGAAGAACCAAAGTAATCGAAGAGGTCATTGCTACCGATGACAATGGCGAAAAGAGATTCAGCGAAGTGCTTTTCTGCACCTGCTCCTAGCTGTTGCATTAAAATTTTATGCACTGCTAGGTAGTTCTCCACTTGTTTTGGTAAAGGTATGGCTTGACCCTGCATGTTACAAAAATGTTAAAAAGGCAACTTGATCACCATGCGGGAATAGCTCAGTTGGAAGAGCGTCAGACTGGCCCAGTGGGCCAATTCCTATGAAATTGGGCTCACTAAATCCAGAAGCAAATTTTTTTATTTTGAATTTATATTTAAAGTTCCAGAGGGCTACTATCCAAAGAAATTAGGCCCTCTAAATCCAGAAGCTATATTTTATTTTAAATTTAATTTCAAAGGCTCAGTGGCTAATACACAAACAAATTGGGCCCACCAAATCCCGAAGCTAACGTTGGGACAGCCGAAAAAGCGGGTCATTCCATATGAAGGGGTACAATTATTTCACCATATGGGAAAAAACAAGTAAAACATATAAATTGAAAAAAATGCAAATATAGTAACAGTAACGGAATTTTCATGTACTATTCTCTTCATGTTTTTCACTTACAAAAACTTGATCTGTGCTGTTGAAGATTCCGGCGCCGCCGGAGGCGAAGCTAACGCCGTTGATATATGAAGCATCCTTCTTGTTCGACAAGGAAAGATATGGTGGTGAACTTGGTAACCCTAGTTTTTCAGCTGGCCAAAAACCAAATGTTACTAAAAAGTAAGAAACAAGGTAAAACACACAAATAAAAAAGCCGTAGCTAGTAGTACTAGTGAAAGGTATAGTGAAGCATTAACTCAACGTGACAGAACATATAGCAGGGTTTCATTAGGGTTTTATTCAATGTTGTCTTAAATGAGAGTAGGTTGCCTTTGGGTCATAAAAACCTTTGGTGGAAAATTTAAAGCCAGCAGGCTCCACAATGTTTTTCCTGTGGCAGAAACAATATATATATATATATATATATAGTTCTAATTAAATGTATTTTAATTAAGTTAATGGTCAAGCAAATAAAATAATTCAGTCTTATCATTGTTGTTCATGTTTCTCGAAAAGAAATTCTTTTTAATTTTAAAGTTTTTATCTTAATCTATATGAAAATTAAAGAGAAGCAAATGTTTAAAGATGAAGAAGAAATTATTTTTAAAAAAATTATACAATAACTTGTCAACTTAGAATAAAGCTGCATATACATGTCACCATCAATAAATAATATTTTATATCATTGGATATATACTTTATTAATTTAATAAATATTATTCAAACTGTATATTAGAATCAACCCACATGAGCATCAACACTCGTTTTAACTTTTTCAAGTGATTCATCAACTTTTTTGGCTTTTGGGACATTTGTCAATTACTACCATGCACTCAAGCTTTCCTCAGCATACCCTAAATATGAGTTTTGAAATAATCTATACATTTTTTTATATATATTTTTTAAAATAAATAATTCACATAATCATCCAAAAATTGGGTTTTGTATTGTCTATCTTCATTTAAAAAATACAAGAAAAAGAGAGCCAAGGAAGGAAGAATATCTTCCCCAAAAGAAAGAAAGTAGAAGCAATGGAGAGACAATGAACATGACTGTCATAAATTACTAAGGAAAAAAGGTTACAAAATGAAGGTGAAAGTGGTTAGTTTGCATGTCTATTGTCATGTTTATTTCCAAGCATTTTCGCATTGAAAGTTTGACAAAAGCTCCTTCTCTCTCATTCATCATGTGAAAGATATTGACAACACCAAGCATGATTAAAGGGTATGATTAATTGCTTTGTCAATATCAGTTTCTTTTTAGATTTGAGAAAGAGGATTTGAACTCTGCTCCTTCCAGTAGAAAATTATATATCAATTAATGAGTTAAATACTCAGATGTGTTTTGTTAATGTTAGCTCATGACCAGTTTCTGATCAAATTTCCTTGCACTGTTTCGTGATGATTTAAGTAAGAAAAAGTTACTTACCAATCAAATCTGCTGCGTTCTTGCCATTGCAGAACCTCCCAGTAGGTTTCTTGGTAGGAAAATCGATCCCGTTGTGAGGGAAATTTGCCTTGGCAACAGACACAGGAAGATAGTTGTTGTTGCCAACATCAACCTGGGAGTCTCCGAAAACAAACACAGCCGGCACCATTTGAGCTTTCGAGACCTCGAAACTCAGAGCAAACAGAGAGAGCAAGAAGAAGAAGAAGAAGGAGAAGAAGTTCATTAGGAAAGCTCTGGCATCCATTTTTTAAGCAGCAGTAGGGTTAGAAGAGAAGAAGAAGGAAAGAGGCACTCTCTGTCTAGTTAAGAGCTTTGGATTCAAGGCTTCTATGTGGGTTTTTATAGAGAAAGTTGGTGGTGTGAAAAAGGGAACAATGGCAAAAGATTCAATGGTGTGGCTTATGGGAGCACAGAGGAAACCCCACACGTATCCCACCATGAATCAAAGCACTGGTCATGTGAAGTCACACCTGACTTAATCCTTTTCTTCCTAGTTAACAAGACCCTGTTTGAGTTTAAATATATTCATTGTTTAATAAGTGTTGGTACATGCTTAAACTTATTTCATGCAGACTCATCTATCATTAACCTAATCCTGATGTTGTCTCTGCCAAAATAAATATGAATTTTGTTTTGGGTAGTAATTGTTTGGGTTTTTTTAACATATAACACCAAAATTATCACTTGATTATTTTTTTGTTGTTGTTTCCCTTATTTTATCTGAAATCATTTATTAAACGAGTTTTGATCGGAACTGTGAATCAAGAGGTTTTTTTATTGAAAAAAATGTTTGTCAACATTTTCTTAAAAGTAAGATTGAATCATTAAACATATTTTAAGATTCATTTCATTTAAACATATACGGTTAGGTTTAACGTGATGAATTAGTTAGGAGTGAGTAAAATTAATCCAGATTAATTATTCACCTAAATCAAATGTGATTTAAATAAAACTGTTTGATCTAATTGATTCATTGAATCAATTGGTCCAAAATGTTTGGTTTATTTAAATTTTTGGTCGGTTCTCAATTTTAAAATTTTTGACCAATTCACTTAAAAAACCAAACTAATTTATATTTATATATATATTAATATATAAAATATTTTTTATATATATTAAGAAGAATTGAGATTAAACTTAATTAATAATATATATATATAATATTAAGGTATTATACATACATATATAAATTATAATCATAGTAATTTAATATTAGTTATATATATTTCTTTATTTATCTATAAATTTGTATTAATATGAAATTACAAGTTATATGTTAATATGATAATATATAATAGTAAAGATCTTACATATTAATATATTATAATTATTACACCTTAGTAATGTTTCGTAATATAAAATGTTATAAATATATATGTATAAATAATTGCATAAATATATTATATATACATATATTTAATTTATAGATAAGCATTATTATAATTTATAATAGACTTTATTTATATGATTAAAATTAATAACTTGTTATCACATTAAATTTTATAACATATTATTTATAATTAGTTATTATTTATATAAACTTTGATATAAAACATTATAACATATAATTTATATCATTAATTATATATATAATATAGTAATATATTATATATATACATATATTTAATTTATATATAAGCATTATTATAACTTATAAAAAATTTTATTTATATGATTATACTTAATAAATTTATTCGTCATCACCTTAGATTTTATAACATCATTTATAATTAATTATTATTTATACAAACTTTGATATTAAACATTTCAACATATAAGTTACATTATTAATTTCATATATATATATATAATTATGAATGAAGTTTATAAATTTTAATATTATAATTTACAAAAAAAATGATAAAATTTTTATCCAAAATTAGATTAACCAAACCAATTCTATATTTAATTGGTTTGGTCTTTCCTTATATTTGATCGGTTTTTATCGATTTTTTAAAATTAATTAGTCCATTTGATCTTTAGATATGATGGACCAAATTATTCAATCCACCCATTTGCTCACCCCTATGAGTTATATTAATTATAATGTTATGTACCATCTATTTAGGTTTATATATTATATTAATATATATATATATATAATATATATATAAGAAACGAGTTTTGAACCAAAAATTTTAAGAAATTTGACGAAAAAAACCCTGAAATTAAGACTATATATCCATGGTTTCGTGATGGAATCAAATGGAAGTTGTGTGAATGTGTATATATCATTGTAGACTCAAGAATTAACAGTATCATCCTTTAATAAAAAACTTGGTCAGCTTAGTTGAATGTAGATGGAGACATTGATCATCCTAGAGAGACAATACCAAGTGGGAAGACAGAGAGAATATGGGTCCCATTTCCATTGTTGTGGAATTTGGAGAAAGTCTTGATGCAGATATATTTTACAGCTTTTCTTTCTGCTGAAGGCCGCATTGGTATCTTCCTATTCGGTTGAAGGGCACCGACCCATACTCAACCCACTTCCTAAGTTTTTTTTTATGTATTTTTTTCAATATTTTATGGGGTTTTTTCTGTTAGTTTTCAACTGAATTAATTCTTCTTCAACCTATTAAGCATCATCTTTTATTCAATTTGTTGTTAGTATGGCACTTTTATGGTTGGTGATATGGGCATTTATTTGTTTGGCTAACGTTTGGTTTTCAAGTTATTTGATAAGGAAAATATATATGCATATGTCATGTATTAAATAATCGGTTTTGGTGAGAGTATTTTAAAAATAACGTACTTTACTTGTTAATCTTCTCGAAAAATAATTTAAATTAAAATTGAATTTTCTCTCTTTTAAATGATTCCTTTTAAAATATAGCAAAAAATTAAATTGAAAGATTTACATTTGTAAACACTGTACTAACAATGTTTCATGCATATATACATGTCATATATTATAATTTTAATTGAATCAAAAGGAGGTTAAAGTTTAAGGTTCGAATTTCCTCTTTTTCCTTCATCGGCTCATTCATGTATCAAAAAAATCACATTTATTTGAAACATATATTTTTTATAATTAATTTGAATATACACATGTAATTTCATATTTTTTCTTTTCTTGTGATTTGTTGCTAGCTATTTATTAAATTTTAGCTGAAATAAGGCAGGCAAGCATAGGAATCAGCTGGAAAACTCTTTTGTATTCACACATGTGACCTTAAAACTTGATAAGCCATTCCAACAAAACATGTTTTATTTATATTGCTTATTACTTTCTAAGTCCTTCAAGCAATGATCAAGAAGGGTTTTTACTATATATGAAAACAATTTACTCATTAAATTAACTATTTGACTTGCAGGAAGACGAAAGTTTAGCTTTCGCTTTATAAAATTCACAATTTTCTTGATTATATACTGCAAAAACTTAAATTTGAAAATGTTAAAATAAGAAATAATACAAGAATTTAAAATTCTCTGATCGATTGTTGTAAAATTTTTAATTGATATAATTTTATCTCGAAAGTGTTAAGATGAGAAGTAATCGAGAATTTGAAATTTTTGTGATTGCATTAACGTGCAATTCGACATCGAAAAATGTTGAAAAAAACAGGAGTTGTAAGAATTTGGAGTAGAAGGGTTCCCTAACATACTTTTTTTGTTAGACCAAAATTATCATCTCATTATTTTTTTTGTTTTTTTGTTATTGTTTCTCTTATCTTATCGGATATCATTTATTAAACAGATTTTGATCGAAATTGTGAATACAGAAGGTTTTTTTTTATTGAATAAATATTTGTCTGACACTTTCTTAAGAGTATAATCAGTTTCTATTTAATCTTTATAGGATTAATATTAAAACATTTTAAAATTCAGTTTTATCGAAATGCATATGATTAGATTTAGCGTGACGTACGTATGAGTTATCTTAATTATAATGTTATGTATTAATTTTTTTTATATATATAAAGAAATGAGTTCCGAAACCCAAAATTGTAAGAAATTTGACTAAAAAACTCTGAAATTAAAACTAATACCCATGATTTCGTGAGGGAATACAAATGGAAGTTGTGTGAATGTATATATCATTGTAGACTCAAGAATTAACAGTATCATCCTTTAATAAAAAACTTGGTCAGCTTAGTTGAATGTAGATGGAGACATTGATCCCATCCTAGAGAGACAATAACCAAGTGGGAAGACAGAGAGAATATGGGTCCCATTTTCCATTGTTGTGGAATTTGGAGAAAGTCTTGATGCAGATATATTTTACAGCTTTTCTTTCTGCTGAAGGCCAGCATTGGTATCTTCCTATTCGGTTGAAGGGCACCGACCCATACTCAACCCACTTCCTAAGTTTTGTTTTTTTATGTATTTTTTTCAATATTTTATGGGGTTTTTTCTGTTAGTTTTCAACTGAATTAATTCTTCTTCAACCTATTAAGCATCATCTTTTTATTCAATTTGTTTGTTAGTATGGCACTTTTATGGTTGGTAGATATGGGCACTCTAATTTGCTTTGGCTAGCGTTTAGTTTTCAAGTTATTTGATGAGGAAAATATATGCATAGGTCATGTATTAAATAATCGGTTTCGGTGGAGAGTATTTTAAAAATAACCGGTACTTTACTTGTTAACATTCCTTTCGAAAACAATATTAAAGTTAAAGTTTGAATTTTTTTCTTTTTTTTAAAATCGATTCCTTTTAAATATAACAAAAAAAATTAAATTGCAAAGATTTCACTTTGTAAGCACCGTACGTAACAAATGTTTCATTGCATATATACATGTCATATATGTATAATTTTAATTGAATCAAAAGGAAGGTTAAAGTCTAAGGTTCGAATTTCTTCTCTTTCCTTCAATCGGCTCATTCAAATGTATCAAAGAAAAAAATCAAAGCGATTTAATTTTGAAACATTATTTTTTTTATAATTAATTTAAATAATGCACATGTCAATTGCATATTTTTCTTTTCTTGTGATTTGTTAGCTAGCTATTATGTTAAATTTTAGCTAGAATAAGGCAGGCAAAGCATAGGAATCAGCTGGAAAACTTCTTTTGTATTCACACTGTTGACCTTAAAACTTAGATAAGCCATCCAACAAAACATGTTTTATTTTATATTGGCTTATTACTTTTAATTTATTCATTAAACTAAGTATCGACTTGCAAGGAAGACGAAATTTCGCTTTCATTTTATAATTTCACAATATTCTCTTATTTTATAAAAAATTCATTAACTTCATAATTTTAATCCCGAAAATATTAAAATAAAAATAATACGAGAATTTAAAATTTTTTGATTGATCGTATTTTAAATTTTTTTATTGTATAATTTTAATCTCTAAAATATTAAAATAAAAATAATATGAAAATTTGAAATTCTATAATCGTATCTGAAATTCATTAACCGTGTAATTCTAAATCCAAAAAATGTTGAAAAAAACAAGTGTAGTGTAAGAATTTGGGAGTGGGAAAGGGTTTCCCTAACAGCAAGGGGCCAGCTGCTAAATGAGGAAGAACATGGTGATGACGCATAACAAGTTTGACCTACAGCTGATTGTCCTTTATGGTGCCTGACTGTGATGACTCACAAATTGTAGAACCGGCGAAACCCACTACCCCATGTTTGACCCACAAGGTGGTTAGCCGGTGGGGACCTTCGGGTGCACCCCAGCCGACAGTTGGTGGGACCATGATTATCTATTTGATAACGTGGTGCGCCACCAAAATGGGTGGTTCCAGACTGCTATACCAAAGCTGAGTTAAAAGGAATGAAGGCCAAATGGGTCATCCTCTTGTTTTCGAGCTCAAAAGCATGGAAAATTCAAACAAAAATTTGGGTGTCAAACAACTAAGAAAAGATATTCAAATTCTCAATCATAATATATCAAAAAAAAATTTTTGATCTTTTTTTTAAAAAGTAAACGATCAATTTTCAACGCGTAATCGAACTTTCAAGTGTTTTCATTTTAAATTTTGGTAAAGAAAACGAATAATTTACATGTCAAATTATTATATACAAATTCTAAACCGACATAGAAATTCTTCTAATTTTAAAAATATATAATACATAATGATTTTCAAAATCAAAATCTATAAATAGATACTTGATATATGTTTTTATAATTTTATAATATATAACTTTCATTAAAACTTACATAATTTCTACAAAAAACCCAAATATAATGCATACATGTTTGCCTACATATCATCTTGAATCAATATTTTATAAGATTTTATGACTAAATTAATAAAATCTTTAGGCAATAAAATCAAGAAATTAGTGTGAAAGGACACAGAAGTTTGCGTGAAAGGAGGCAAGAACAATGGTGATGCTGCTACAACCATGAGAGTTAGGACTCAAGTTCCTATCCTAATGTGTGAAAGGATCAGATTTGATTTGCTCACTTATCACAATTTTTCAATTTTTTTCATTTTTGTCTTTATCTCTTTGAAGCTAATATCTGTTTTGTCTTGTTTTAAGCCTGCCTTTGTGGAGTTCATATCTTATATGTGCAGGTCAATTTAATAGGCTGGTGCCCATTTTCTTACAACCATGGAAAAAAAAAAAGAGAGACATATTCTTGAGATTTCTAAAACTATAATCGATTGATATCAACCAGCAATATTCGATTGATAAAGACATTAACATTTTTTTTTACAAAAAAATAAAATTATTAAAATATACAACGTCCATATTTATAAATTTAGAACTTCTCATTTTAATTATTTGATATGAGATTTCATATTATTTTTTCATATTTGTATTCACGTCGTCTTTACTGCAATCCGGGTATAGATTGACTTTGATATCATTTTGTTATGGAGCTATAACCTAATTCCTAAATGGCTATCTTATTGAAATATCAAAGTCGGATATGGGTGATTTTTTTTTTTAATTGTGCATGACAATTCAACAATATGGGCACTATTTTATTACAAGAAAAAAAGGTTCAAATTCTTGATATTTTTAAAACTATATCATCTCAAAATATTTGATGGTTACAAATTGAGATTTCAATTTTAAAATCTCAAGTTTGAATCTTGAAATAAACAAATGAGATTTATGGAATGAATTTTCCGATTCAAAATCTTTTACTTATTTGTAATAAAAGAATTTCATATGCTACCATCCAACATTGCAATGTTAAGATAGCCAAATAATAATCCACAAAAATGAAGTACAGCCCTTAATGAAACCTGGGCCTTAATCTCACCTGAAAGTTGCTCCAATTTGGGTTTAGTCCTGCCTCGAGATATTATCATTTTTTCGAAAAGTTAAACTATTAATATATTTATAAGTTTAGAATCTCTTTCTTATCTATTAATATAAGATTTTATAATATTTTTTTACACTCGAATTCATAACGTTTCATTGCGAGTTACGTGTGGATCGACTTTGAGATCATTTTATCACGAAATCATTATCCTTTTTTCAAAAGATTATCTTACTTATATATTAAAGTTCGAAATCCTTTTTTATCTATATGATATAAAAGTATGAAATAACAAAGCATGCAAACACCTAAACTTTATAAAAAATACGTAGTATTGGAAGGAATTCTCTGCAGTCTGCTATATCAAGTCTTTGTCTCTAAATCTAGAAGGAAAGAAGACCAAAGAAAGAGTCACAAAAAAAATTAGCTAATCTAGAAAAACAGAAAAGATCAAACATCTTGACAATGAGACAAAGGTCAACTGTCTGACTTTCAGATAAGAGTTGAAGTTTCAAACTAATCAATTACTATAAAAAGGTTATGGATGCCACATTTACATATCAGAAGATTGTAGCTTATAAGCTAAAAATGGCTTGTTCGAACCCATTTACCTATTGTTTTTTACTGTTCCTCTCCCTGGTAAGCTGTCTTGGAACTCTTATCATGCTCAAAATCTTTAAGTATTAGTTAAATTTTGAAGTTTGATGTTCGTTATCAGAACGTTATGATTTTTTTTTGTTTCAGATTGGATCAAGCATTGCTGCTTCTCCTAGTGATGATTTGCTAGCATGGGTGCAACAAGATAATCGCCGGTTCCTTAATGCAGTTATCCGAGTTACCAATCTTAATCGTACTATTAAGTACGTATAAATTTTTGTTTCTTAATGTTGTTATCAGGATTAGTAATCTTAATCTTATATTACGTACATATAAATTCTTTTTTCTTAATGCTATTTTCGGAGTTAATAATCTTAATCGTATCGTTAAATTCGTATAAATTCTTGCTGCTTAATGCTATTATTGGTATTAGCGATCTTAATCGTATGAATAAGTTTCTTGCATGAAAATCATGTCTCATGTTCATGTGATTTTAACTAGTATGGTTTCTCAAATGTCAGGTTTTACACTGAGAACTTTGGGATGCAAGTACTGAGGCAAAGTGATATCCCACATGAAAAGTACTCGTATGCTGTCCTTGGGTTTGGCCCCGAAGACTCTCATTTTGTCCTGCAGCTGAGACAAAGTATGCTTTCCAACATCTTTGGGTCACTTTGTCTATATGTTTTTTCTCTTTTGTACTGATATTCATTGCAGCAATTGACATTGACAACACCTTATGCTTTATTTGTCAAGACTATGGAGGCGAGAAGTTGAAGCTAGGGACAGCCTTTGCACACTTTGGGATTGCAACTCAAGATGTGAGTAAAACAGAGATCGAAAACTTGTCAATCAGTTTAGACTGGTCTTAAGCTGTCGATCTTTGTTATCCTCAGGCTTACAAAATGGTTGAAGAGATCCGAGCCAGAGGTGGAGTCATCACTCGTGAAGCAGGCCCAATCGAAGGGGGAACAACCGTTTTCGCCTTCGTGCAGGATCCTGATGGCTACATGTTTGAGCTCATCCAGAGACCTCCAACCCCTGAACCACTTTGCCAACTAATGCTTCATGTATCTGATCTAGATAGTGCTATCCAATTCTATGAAAAGGTAGATCATCTTTGTGTATCTCGAACATAAAAATATAACAAGGATCTCTTCACCTGTTACTGATTACTTTTAAATTGGATATCCGTCATATTTGATGTCATTTGATGATGCAGGCCTTAGGCATGAAGTTGCTGCAAAAGTATGACAGCCCTGAGGAGCAGGTGAGCCATTTGATGTTGTAGTAAATTTCCCTCTTGTTCCTACTGAAGGCCAATATGACTTGGCCTGAATAAAGGTTCAAGTGCATGAACTTGTTATGCATGAAAATCTATCAAATGTTATCTGCTGCATTCCTCTGTACAGTTTGCTATTGCCATGGTGGGCTATGGATCAAACCTAACTCAGATAACCACAGTGGAGTTGAGATATAACTACAATGTCACTGAGTACACCCAAGGAAATGGATATGTGCAGGTCAGGTTTAGCTATGTCACACAGTTTTCATCAAATCCTGGTTCATTTTAACAAAGAAACCTGTCTCCTAACATAACCCCTATTGCCAGGTTGCTATAAACACAGATGATGTATATCGAAGCGCTGCTGCTGTTAAGCTGGTTAGTCAAGAACTCGGAGGGAATATAACACGAGGACCAGATCCGATCAGCAAAACCACTTCATTCCTCGATCCAGATGGTTTTGAAACGGTTTGGCCCCCCTCTCTTTAGACACAGGATCTCTTGCTCTGCCTTTATAGCAACCTTATTATCGTTATCTGATGGCTTGATTCTTCAGGTTTTGGTGGACAACCGAAGGAAGAAAGAGTAAGGGTGCTGCCCAGGAATTTCGAACGGATTCTGAATAAGAAGGCATGCTATGGAGCCAGTGCCTAACGTATCATTTGTATTATCCTATTGCTTTTGTTTCATGTGTTGCTATATTAATTAAAAGGATTGCTTAAAGAGGTGTAAAAACATTTTTCAAAGTTTTTCTGTTGATCCGTAACATGTTTAAAACTCTTTCAAACACCAAAAATGACCGAAACCATTTTCCGAAAAGCATTTGCATGCTTACCAAATGAAGTGTTAGGCTACGATATCATTCTTGTTTAAAGAATCAGATTTGGTGGTAGAGCAGAAAGTTGCAGACGAGAAACTTGAACATTGAAGAACAATGAAAAGAAATTACAAAATGTTACATGTAACCAGGTCCAAACAATTTCCAGGCCCTCTTCTTCCTTCAACATGTGGCCAAAACCTTTAAATATGAACACAGGAACGCAACTACATACTCATGAGCCGAATCTCACTTGTCTTGTGCTCCTGCAAAGCACAAATATGATCTAAACTCTTTGAATAAGTTGTTGGCTAAATGCTCATCAGGCACCTTCGGCCAATGCATAGGAGGAGAACAAACTACGACTCTTCAAAGCAGAACTTCAATCTGCGCCCGATAATTTCACTTCCAGTAGCTCCCTCAATAACAACTTTAAGTGATCCTTGTTGCATCCCTTATGAGGTATAATCTGCATTTCAGAACAGAGCACCAGAACTTGGAAAGGATGCAAATGTTTCAGAATCTGTGGGTCTCGATCATAATCCTGATAGAATAGCGTTGGAAGTCACAGAAATTAAACCAGGTGCTTATACTCACGTGCAAAGAATTCATATTAAGGAAAAACTTCTGCATGCATCAAAACAAGCTTCCTCTGTTACTAACCTTTTCTGTGACTATAACGATTGGCTTATAACCGAACTTGTCTTCAAGTTGTCTAAGTCGCTCTCTCATCATATGCATATCCTAGGTTCATCAACATCAGGACATCACAAACTTGATTGCTTGGAAAATAAATCTAAGATATAAAGAATGAAAAAGGCAGACAAAAAATAAAAATTATTACACACTATAATCTATATATCATGCTTCAATCATCAGGTAGCAGTCTGATAAGGTTTGTGTCTTTTATCCCTTGTACTTGCACAATGAACAGATTAAAAATGTAATTGAAGCATCCTTTCTCCCTAAACAAGTGTAAATGAAGGAGAAAGAGCAGTGTACCTTAGTTTGAAATGAGTGATGGTCACTGAAGTCAAATCGATCAACATATATTGGCCCCATCTGCAGCAAGTTATTCACCATGTAACAACAAACGTAAAGACAGAAATGGGGAGAAATAAGAGATGAAGAGGATCTCCATTCTACATCACATGTTAATTGCACCAGAAAATAAAATGTATGAAGCTTCTAAGTAAATAACATAAAATGTCAAAAAGTATACCTTTTCCATCCTCTGCACAAAAGCATCTGAAGAACCAATTGCAGAAACACATAATACAACTGCATTATGCACAGCTCCCAAATGCATCTTTGTGTTTATATTTCTCACTTCAAAGAAATATGAGGGAGCCATTCTGGTGTAGAAAATTGGAAGTGACTTGATTTCCTGAATCACTAACTCGATATCTTTGAGCTTTTGCTCTAATACCTGCATGATTTTGAAGCATAAGCTTTTAGGTCAATTCCTTAACATAGACCACCTACCACAACAAGCAAAAATATGCTAATTTACAACAAAACCACCCATATATGTGAATTGATGTTGCACATTTGCACAATCTTTGTTAAAAAGAATTAGAATTATCTTCTTGGAAAGGAAAATTTTAAAGCTCAATTCCTCATACCAGGTCAGCATGGTGGAGTACAGCAACATCTGCACGTTTGAGTGCCATCAAAGGTTCTCTTAAGGGTCCAAGTGGAAGTAGTTTGCAGTTTCCCCATGGCATTAATCCATTAATCATTACAATCTCTAGGTCACGACACAAGCTCCAATGCTGCCCTCCATGTACATGAGATCATAACTTATCAGCATAATACCTACATAACCAAAAAGTTTTCTGCTTCAAGACTTCCCTGACAAAGGAAAATGCGGCAGCTAATGTACAATCAAATCTATTCCTGAAACAGAAACTGCTATTATGTTTGTACTTTACCGTTGGCTTCAAAATGTACATGTCAACTTAGCAAGAAATGGGGAAAGAATTACTACCGAGAGGAGTTATTTGGCCATATAATTTCCTATTAATGGACAAAACTAGGCTAGGAGACACACTTCAATGCATAATAAGAAACACAATAAACATGAAAGAAATTGCCATACCTGCATCCCATCATCCAGAATAGCAGCACCAATTTTCTCTGAACTGATATGACTTCCCACTTTCTGGTCAAGATAGGTTCTCTCGAAGAGTTTACTACCACGACAATCTACATATCCGTATTTTTCAAAGAACAAATTGGCAGTCGCTATCCGATTTGCGCCTACACCAACTTTTACAGGTCCCCCGAGTAGATGCCTTTGCAGCATTTTAGCTTCATCTCCACCAGCATAACCCTACAAGATTGAAAATGACAACAACTAAGATACTGATTTAGCTCTAACTTTGCCACCTAACATTGAATTCCGAAAACCAAAAAAAGTCCAATACACTCAAACCAACTTAAAACCAATCTTCCAGATCAAAACAACAAACCACCTTTATAAAGGGCCAACCACCAACCTAGCTGAAAAATACACCAATCCCTTAAAGGTGACAAATACCTGACTCAGCCCGATCACGTGCCCTGAACCCAAGCATACCCAGTTGGGAACTACAAAACAAGTCAACCAACCAAACTTGATTTGACCAAAACCCAAAATGACCCTACATGAAACAACATGAACCCGAATGACCCATCACAAACAGGACCTTAAACCCGACCTGATAACTACAAACACTAGCAAAGTAAAATGCTGCGAGAATTAACCCAATCGTGGAAACCTGGTCAACTCGCCCGAAGGCAGAAAACCAACCCAAGTTTACCTCAGAAGTCGATGATCCAAGTCCAAACTTACCCATCCCGAACCCAACCAGACCCGCTTACCACCTTTAAATCTGCCATACGAAAAATCAAGTACAACAATGACAAAGAAGTACAAACAAAACATACCCTTGTTAAAATGAGAGGTGAAATTCCATAATCAGATAAACATCTAGCTATGAACTCAACCATTGGCGTCTTTCCATTTCCTCCCCACGTTAAGTTCCCAACACTGATCACCGGCACTGGCAACCTTTCAACAAAAAAAAATCCAATAAATCAAATAAACAAACAAACAATAATTGTTCGAAGAGTTTCAACATAATGTACTCTAAATTAAGCTTAACATAATCATTAAGGGGGGAATCGTTTTCTAGACCTGTGCCTAGAGAAGAAGCCGGAGCGGTAAAGAGAGCGGCGGAAAGATAGAACGACACCGTACAGAGAAGAAGCTAAGGAGAGGAAAGGAACAATAGAGCGATGAAACCCGGAGAGCTTAGCTTGATCTCGGGCGTAGGCGATCTCTGTCACCGCTCTCTTCAGTTTCTCCATTAGCAGCGAAAAGGGCGAACACCGAAACTAGGAAGAGGGAAATTATGGAGGGAATGGAGGGGTAGTTGTTGGGTCGAATTATACGGTTTGTTGTCGGATCCAAGCCTAATATTGATATGGGTCGAAAGTGAAAACCTTTGATCCTCTAATTTCAGAATTTTGTAATTTAATTTTCCATTACAGTATAATAACTTTTAAATATAATTATTATATATATAGTGATTATATTTAATTAAATTTTATGATTTTTTTGAAAACATTATTTACGTATTTAATTTATATATTCTATCAAAATGTCAAATTTGTTTTACATAAATAACTATAATGAAAAAATTTTAACAATATTAACAATTAAAATGATATTAACAAATTTGAAAAATATAAAGCACACCGAAAGAGATGGGACTGGTGGTACCCTTCAATGATTAATTTTTGTTTAAAATTAAATAATTAACTTGATTCATGATTTTATATAATAACTTTTTAGTTAATTTTTATGTAAAATTTTAAATTGTCACTAAATAAAAAAAATTAATTTATATGATTTTATTGTAAAATATATAAATTAAATGTGTAAATCAACAAAATTTTAAAGAATTATAATCAATCACGTATCCTTAATCATTTCGCTTTTTATATTGTCATTAATGTATGCTCCTTTTGAAGGTCGAAACTAAGCCATGCATGAATATGATAAGGAAAAAGAAAATGAAAGATAAAACAAAAGGAAATTGAATACATCGGTTTTAAGATTCGAATTATTATAATTAATATCGAGTTATGTGTTAATTTAGAATGAGCTCTCACATTATGTTAATGAGATCTTAATCTTATAAAATAAGTTTTAATTTATTATTATAATGTGTAATTTTGATGAAAACATTACAAATTTGAATATGCTATGATACTTCATTTAATATCAAATGTGAATGTCGTTATTAAAATTTATATAAAATATAAATTAATTATTATTAGTAATTTAAATTTAAATTTTAAAAATTATATAATTTAAATTCAAAAATGATTATTCAGGGATCATTACTCGACAATATTTAAATTAATTTATGCTCGAAAATATAACAATTAAAATTTTTTTGTAGTTAGAAAAACCAAGTCAGCATGTGGGGCCCGTGGTAGTTAAAGGGGGACAAATGCAATTACAAGCGGATCACCACATTTCAGAACAGTTATGTTAGGGCCCACCATTTCGAACGAAAACGAAGCCACCTGATTGATCCCAGCACCGTCTACCCATCCTGTCAAAACAAATCTGACGGCCGAAATTGGCTGACTGCGGCAGAGAGTAAGTAAAAACCGACAGTGTACCAAAGCCATGGTAAATATATGGGTAAAATATCTAGATTCGAGTTTTAATCAAAATTTCACAAACATTTATTAATATAAAAAATAAATAATCTATTTCAAAAAATTATTTTTCACTAAATATATAAATCCTGCTAGTAATGTTTTATTGATATTTCTATTAATTTATAGACCTGATAATATTTTTTAAAATAATTTTATTTTTAATAAATTTAAAAAATTATATAATATATAAACTATAACTTTTATTTTTAATTTTTTATTTAAAATATATTTTTTTCTTTCAAATAATGTGGTTGGTTGGAGATATCTAATTCGTTGGTGGATCACCCCTCAACTGAATCTAGTCATCCATGGCTAGATCCAGTTGGACATGGCCACACTCCTAGTAGGTGCCAAGCGCTAGACGACCGCAGCTAAATTGTGTTAACCAAGGGGAGTGTGCCAGATCTAGTCGAATCTGCTTATGGGAGGTGAGATTCGATCGTGGAATGGTCGGACGGCGAATGGAAATGGCATCAGGCGGGACATTATCGGAGAAAAAAAGAGATATTTTAATTTTTTTATATTTTTTATTAACTATGTTTGTACTTTTAGATTTTATTATGAAACTATGCTTAAAAGTTAATAGGTCTAGACATTTTACTTTTAAGTGTGAACACCAGCTTTTCAAATTGGAGGAAAGAGAAGCGTCATGATTTCTCTCATCAACTATAGACCCCACGTGGGCCCAATTCCCCTCACTGGTGAGACCCCACCAAACACGTTGAATCAAACGAAGGAGCTGAATTTCAGGAGTTTTCATTTTTTCCCTCTGATGTTTGGGCCATCATCACCGTTCGTTTTAATGACAGGGTCGTGATGTCGACGGTCCTGATTGAATTCCTACGCTGCAAAAAATAAAAGGGAAAAAGAGTGGTATGAATTGACCATTCAGTCCTCTACTGCGAGGTTGAAAAGAACAGTTGCTTAGTGGGCGTAATAGTCAATGTCTCGGAGGTCTTTTTCAAATTTGATTTGAATAAGAAAAAAATAGAAGACGAATTTTTAATGTTTCTCATCACTTGCGCTGGACGGCGCGTGGAAATCCTTTCCTCTTTCTTTTGGAAGCTTTGGCCTTTTACGGCTGTGAAACCTGTTTAGCCAAGTCAGCCTTTGATTGACCCAAAAGCCAATGGGAAAAACCCTTTTACTTTCCTAACCTTTTATTTGATGAGATTGAGATTCTCAAATGAATAAATTCCCATTTAATTTGCAAGTTGGTAGATATAGTAGAATTTAAAATTTGGGAATAAGTAGAATCTAGGTGTGTAATTATTCGATTCGATTTTAAAATTTTTAAGAATTGAATAAATTAAGTTCTCATAAAAAGTAATCAAAATTAATCAAATATTATAAAAATAATAATAATAAAATTGGCTTGTTTCAAGCTTTCGATCAATTATTATTTTTCTTAATCGATTATCATTGAAATAAAAAATAATAATTTGAATTAATCAAATTCAATCAATTTCAATCAATTTACTTTGAATTGAAGTGATAAATACTCACACATTGTCCAAAGGAATGTAACATTATGCTTATTGTCCATGGCTTGGGCATTAGCCTATTTGCCCGATATCCCCTAATTAAATTAAATGTTGAAAATTTATGTAGCCAAAATTTATTAAACTAAGTACACATTTTTGCTTAAAAGGAACTTCATTTAAGAAAATTTTACATTCTCCTCCATCTTATCTTATCAAATAAAATGATTATTAGTTAGTGAATTAATGTACATAATAAATAATAATTACTGATTACCATAAGGAAAGTTCAACATTATTAAATAAATGTCAATTATTAGAACAATTAAAATCATTCAGTAATCTTTAGATATGAGACATGGTTTTCACGCGCTAGATCTAAAAAATATCCACGAATGTATATATAGAGAGACAGAAGAGACGGAGAGAGAGAGAGGTGACTTGACCGAACGGGCAACAGACAAAGGGACACGCAAAACCCTAACCGGGCAGGGGGCAGCACCTAACGCCGTCTTTCTGAGCCCCATTAACGCCACACTCTCGCGCTTGTCTCTCAAACCAAGTCCCAATCATTTTCATTACACCCGAGCCTCCAGGCTAGGAGCTAGGCTCGGAAATCTCCAGAAAAAGCCGAAGCCCACCATCGAAAAATAATGGAACCAAAAGCAAGAGAGAGAAAGCCGAAAAAATAAAAATAAAAATAACAGAAGAGAGAGAAAGAGGGAGGCAGTGAGTGATGGTTTTTATAGAGAGAGAAAGTGAACAGAGATGGGGCAGATCGTGAAGAGGAAGAAGAAAGGAAGGCCGCCGAAGGCGGATCTGGCTAAAAGAGGGAGTTCGCCGGCGGCACAGTCGGAGTCGGAGCTAAGGCGGAGTCACCGGCGGAGAAATGTGAGGTATAACATCGATTACGACGATTACCTCGACGAAGACTTCGAGGAAGAAGACGAGGAAGAAGAGAGAAGGAGAGAGAAGAAGCTTAAGCTTGTTCTTAAGCTTAATCAAGGTCAAGAAGTTGAGCCGCCTTCTCCTCCTCCTCTGTTACCAAGCCGCGGCCGAGGTGTTTCCTCAGCTGCCGCGCGTGGGAGGCGCGAGGATAGGAAGGAAGTGGAGGAGGAAGAAGTAGAGGATGATGAAGAAGAGGAGGAGGAAGAAGAGGAAAGCGAGAAGAGGAATAAAAAGATTAAGAAGAGAAGAATCAACGGTGGCGATGAAGTTGATCGTGATGATTACGAAGAAGAAGTTGATGATGATGAAGATGATGATCATGGTGATGCGGAGGTATGTACTGAATCATTTGTACGGATCTATCAAGAAAGAGGAAGAAAAGCTGAAGCAAGCAAAAAACACTGAAAAAACTAAAGAAGAAGAAAATTAAAATTGTTTCTGTGTTGGAGGGAAGGGGAGAATTTAGGGGAAGAAAATAACGGTCGAAGGTCAACTGTCAAAAACAAAAAACTACTAACAGAATCTGATCACGCTCCCACCTTTCTCTCTCTACTTATCTTTCTACATATCCATCTATCTATCCCTCTCTCTCTCTAACCAACTATTTCTCTCTCTAAATCTATGTCTTTTACAAACTCTCTTTCTCTCTCTTTGAATGTTTGAGTGTACCTATACATGTAACGTCTGCTTTAGTTGTCTCTGTCTCCTGTCACTGTCTCACTCTCAATCTCTTTCTTTCTCTTTCTCTCTCTCTCTCTCTCTATCTATATCGTACTTCACAGCTTGAGGGAGATAATAGTTGGGTTCCGCTCTGGGTTTAAACTTCCATATTTTTTTGATGATTTATGTTTTTTAACGTTTTGGGTGTTCTGAAGTTTGAGAGTTCTGGTTTTTAACAGGGAAGAGGGAGAAAAGGGGAATCCAAAGGGCAGGACTCAGTTCCAGGTTTGTTTTTGATTAATGGGATTTCGATTTTTGCTTTGTTTTTGGGAGGTTTTGGAGTTTTGAGTAGTGAGGGGTTTGAGTTTTGTTTTAATTTTTTTTTCTTTTGGTTTTGATTAGGGACACCGTCGGATCCTCCATCAGGGGTCCCATTGCCTGATAAGAAGACATTGGAGTTGATTCTTGATAAACTTCAAAAGTGAGTGTTGAACCTTTGTTTTATTTTTGTTTTCTCTCCCTCTCTGTCTCTCTTTTTTCCCTCAACTTGATGTTGCTAATTCTGAGTTGGGTATGAATTTTTGCAGGAGAGATACTTATGGTGTGTATGCCGAACCGGTTGATCCTGAAGAGGTA